ATAAGGCAGTATTTCCACAGAAGGATAGAGGGAGTTCATCCATGCAATCAACTACCAGAGGCTTGGAGGACAGAATTTACAAAAAGGAACAATCATTCCTCTTGTACGTACCAGCTTATCAGTCTTTGGGATAGATCCAATAAAAAGATTTGAGTTTTTAAAATGGGATGTAGCCTTACGAAGGAACTTCAAACTAAAGCTGCAAATAACTTTGCTCAACTGCTGTTCAACCCTAATTTCCAAAGACACTTTCTTGCTTAGCTGTAAAGCTTTTCTGCTGTCACATTGGTCTGTGTGTGATGTCCCTCCGCAACATTCTGCAAGCGCACATTTTTGAATACCCTAGGTAGTAACCTAGTCTTTACAGAAACAATTCAATGCTTAGTTCACACCTGTGCTTGGTTGGGATCCAAAACTTTGATGTTCTTCTGCCTAATTTTCCTAAAAGGCTTGCCCCTGTAGACATCTACATAGTCTTGAACACTGGCAGGATCTGGACTGTACAAAATGCAGCTGTGGCCATCGTACTCTTTCAGACATTTGCTCCCTTGCTTCCTTTATGTGAGGATGTACGGCAGTAAACACCACAGTAAAGGTTCAGTTGTGTAGGAACACTTTTCACTGCTGAGCATTGCCATTGTAAACATGAGATCAATCTGAGAAGCGGGAAGTAGGAGCACGATATTGTCACCTGGTGCAGTAGTGCTAATCAAGGGAGAACTGTGCTCTGGCCCCTGCTTAGAGCACTGATTTTGTATCTTACAGAAAGAAGTACAGTTTCCAGTGCTGTGATGGGCACCCCTCTTAGTGTACTCACAGCCAAGTTCAAGCACACTTGTCCTTCTGACCCCATGAATCTCAGATGCTTTTCTCTACTGCTTCCAAAGAGTGGAGTATGAATGGCGGGTGGCCCCCACCAATGTAGCTGTTAGCCCGATAGGGAATTTTTTCCTGGTGACACAGAAGCCACCATCACTGAATACCTAGACGGAGGAGGGAACCGAATCCAAGTCTCATTTTCTAATTGTTAAGCTAGTATACAAAAAAAAATTGCCAGCACTTCCACTTTAAACAAAACTTTTCATTTCTCTGTAATAAAGGATGTCAGCACCTCTCTTCACAGCTGAGGTTCCCAAGTGGTTAGAAGTGCCACTGCTGTTCTGAGGTAGCCTTCCCTGAGGTCAGAAATGGTCCCGATATAAGACTCACTCTATTCTGAATGTCCCCTGTTGGCTAGCTTCAGGCAGCCACGGGCTGGCCATGCTGGATTTAGGCTGTGCTCTCCTCAGTCTGCTGCTTCTTCTGGATCCCATTAAGAGGTGCTTAACTTCCCATGGAGCCCAACACGGGTTCTGGATTCCTCTCCTGTGCGTAATATCTGACACATAATCAGAAACAGATCCTGGCCTAAAGCTCTAGCCAGCCAAAAATTGAGAAAAACAGATTGGCTGACATTCCGCCAGGGTTATACTCTCACAGACATACTGATGCCCATGGGATGACATAGATGTAAATTAATTTGGCCCTGGTATGATCACTTGCAGTTGAAACCTTCAGTTGTTTATAATGAAGTTGTAGTGGATTTTATGAAACATATGGGCTTTCAGATACCTCACATTGTGACAGCAATTAATGTTTCTGCTTACATGTTTTGGTGAAGCTGGAATTACAGCACCACGACAGTCAGCTCTTATAGTAAGACAACAGTTCTCCAAAGATTAACTTCTTGAAACGTCTGAAGCAGTACATACAAATAAAGGGGAAAAAAAGCCCCAACACAACTTCAAATAAATATCCTGCTAAGTATAAGGAACCAGATCCTCAGCTAACATAAACCTTTTAAATAGAACAGATTTAAGCAATTTACAGATACTGAGGATCTTTACTCCAGAATAAATAGAACTGAAAATAATGATTCCTTTTTTCCTACTCCCTCCTTCTTCACAATTCATTTTGTTTTGATCTTTCCTAAGGACTGATACAAAAGCAATTGTCTCCTTGGGTTAAGTGTGCAACAGTCACAGGAATCCAGGGCTTTTCTCAGCAAAGGGGAAAAAAAGAAACTTTGAAGCTACCTACAGCTTCAAATAATCTCCTTCTATTAAAAAACATGGGGGTTAAAAAACACCTGACCTTGCAGGTAGGTACTTCTGAGCTGGGCAGTAAAGTGATAAAGTCCATTTCTAAGACAGATGAGGAAATGCACAAGATGATTATTTGTATCAAGCCAAAGAACACATTTAAACCACTGTGGCTGAGCAGATTTATTTACCTATCTAATTTTACCTCTGTGTGCCCCATTAAGATACTGCGGTGAAGAGTATTACACAGATGCCCTGATTCACTCAAAAATTAGGGCCTGGACATACAAGCCACTGGGATGCAAAGAACACAGCCAAGCTCTCATTGACTTAACAGTAAGAAGAGGATAGTATACCATGGTCTGTCCTTCTGCCTCGACTTGCAACCCCACACTTCTGTTGAGACTATGCTCTTAGTTCCTGAATTTGTGTCAATTATTCTATCAAGGATGAAGTCATTGAATCTGAGGTCATCTAAGCCAGGCCCTTACCTGCTCCAGACTGGCAGAACTCTTCTTACTTCAGCCAAGCTGGGACAGTCAAGGGTGTATGAAAGTAAGACTGGTAGGGCTTCTGGAGAACTCCTGTCTCTTTTGCTATTGCACACATCCCTCCCATAGAATACCATTCATAAACTGGAAACTCTCCATCTTAGAATTGACTCAGTTTTCTGGCACCGACCTAATGTGCTGGAAAGATGTTCCAGAGTCTGACTACTCTGTTGGTTTGAAAACGTGAAGTAAAAAGGCACTTGAAAATAGCAAAATAACAGTGGAATGAAAGGGGGGGCCAAAAACCTCCATTATATCACTTGAGTTTGCTTCCAAAATAAAGTCTCTAATTAGTAGGCATTGGCCCAGCTGGTATGTAACTATTGCCATTTCTTTAAATAGAGTGAAAAATTGATACTGTGTCTCATCTAAGTTTTTCCAGGCATTTTAAATGTAATTGCGACACCTGAAAATACTTTGCCTGCCTCACTCGTTGCTTGAAGATACATGACCATGTAAGGGACTGATTGCAATTTGACCTGTTACCAGACGCTAGCAGTGTCACCGCAGCAAACCTCTTAGCCTCCAGCAACCATCTGCTTAACCTGCTCCATAGTGGATTACCTTAAATCACATCACCTTGCATTTTGCTAAGCAAAACATATAAGACCCATGCGATGAATGAAGAAGGTTTTCTCACAACTTATGCACCATTTCATGACATCTTAGCCAGATGGGTATGTTGGAATTAGTTTATGAAGAGCAGAAGTTGGGGTTTTTTTGAGAAGTGTATCTGCAAGATTACGTCGCTTTGCTGCTGAGTGTTGTTTTGTGGTAGAAAGGCCGCTGCATTCTTTCCAGTGCCAGTACCCCTACAAAATTTGGTGCATGAAATAAAAATCTTCATCAATATTATATATTAGTGGCATGACATGCAAAAGCTAGATTCTTTTGTTTAAACCTCAAAATAAGCACCAAATCCTTGCAAAACACTGTGACAGAATTAACTGGACAAAAATAGTTTCCTGGGATCTGAAGTTACAATGGCAGCCACTTAGCTGAATACAAGTGAGAAACAAGAGATGTGATCTTTCATCCCAAATAAGTAAGGTTTTACCAAGTAGAAGCTAAAATAATGTTAAAGTAGTGCTTGTTTAATAATATTATGTTGTTAAATAAACCCTAAGGTTGCTAATTGCCTTGTAAAAGATAGGCTTTCTCACAACTGTTTTTGTCTTACTGTACTTCAGAACCAAAGTGTGCTGCAATAGCAAGTACCAGGGAAGCATCCTTTGCCTTTGACGTGCACTTTTGAAGCACCAAGATGATCCCAGTTAAAATAACCTTCAATTCCTGTACTTCTAAGATCTAATTTTTGCGTTTCACTTGGCTTTTAAGCAATCCCTGAAATCTCACATGCCCTTGAACTTCAGCATGAGGCTAAAGTAGCAATTTAAACTTTGCCTTCCCAACACTGACCTGCCTCCATTCCTCATCCTGCAACAGAAGGATCATGGCTGGGGCAGGAAACTGCAAAACCTGGGGCAGATTCAGCTCTCTGGGGTTGCTCACATGCCAAAGAGGAGGGAGCTGCCCTTTGCTCTTCAGGCAGCTGTGGCCACTGCAGCATGGCCCTAGCCAGACCTTGCTGGGCCTGTGGCTAGACCCTGCCCCATAACCAACATGTCACCAACACACCCATTAAAAAAAGAAAAGAAAGAAAACCCCAAAACTGACTCCATGTGCTCTGGATGCTGCAAGAAATGGCCCTGACCTTCCCCTCCCTCCATCCCCACGTATTTTGGCCTCTGGCAAGCGTGGCCTGTGACCCTCCCTGCACACCCGGCTGCTCTGCCCACCGCCCCCCCCCC